GGCAAGCGAGCAGGCTTATTATAGAAAGATAAGCCATGAAACTTTGGTAAATTGTTTTTAAGATTTTTTCAGCGCCATTTTTGGAATAAATAAACTATATAAAAAATTTTTAAAGAATTGCTGCAAAAAACTCTCAATTTGTTTTTTCGGATTTTTTTTTTCATCTTCGAAATTTTTTTTTAAGGAAAATTTTTAGAATTTTTTTTCAAGTTGTTTCTACAAAACTGTTGTACGATTTGCCTATTTTACTGTGAATGTCGAATGTACCTAAATTCAGGTTTTAATTACATCTTTCTCTCACGCCCCGCACAAAAAATAACATAAGAATAAATTCGAAACAAGTATCAGGTATCCAAAGTTGTATAGATCAGTAACCCGAGTATAACTGCACAATTTAATAAAATTTAACAAAATTCGGGTGAGAAATAGTGAGAAACACTAGATTGAAGGAAAAGAAACACGAAAAAAATGGACACGAAAAACAACCGGCTAATCTTGTTTTTTTTTTCAGTTTTTCGTTCGCAGATTGTTTTGAACACTCAAAACTTTGAAGTTGATACACAAAATTTCACACAGAGACTAAAGGTGAAAAATGAATTCTGTCGAAAAAATTGATTACACTTGTTATAAAAATCAATTACTTGAAATATAAGAAGGATTCAGGCTACACAAACTGCATTCACGTTTCCCATTACCATAAAATGAAACCGCTCAGAAAAAAAATGTGGTAAAATATTTTAAAAATCCAAAAGTTTCTAAATGTACTCATAAACTTAACTTAAAACTCTGCAAGCAAACAAGCTGCATTTCCTGCAGAATCAATTGGCTATAAACATCAGCTAGGGACTACCGTGAATTTTTTTTTACGAGAACTATAGACGAAAACTTAATTCGACAACTAGCAATAAAAGATAACTCGCAACAAAAGACAACTTGCATCACAAAGGCAACTTGCAACATACTCACCGCCGCAGCCTGGTCAACGTGTTGCGAGCTTGCCACCAAAGGATACGAATTTATACGAAATTTAGAATCGGTTATTAAGCGAAGCGGCAACGCGCTCACACCGACGACCTTAAGTGAAAAGCATAATGTTTTCAATTATTTTTTAAAATCTTAAATTTAGCGAACTTAAATTCGCTTATCTTAAGCTTGGCAAATTGTCTTTTGTTACGAATTGTCATTTGTTGTCAGTTGTCTCTACAAGACGAAAACTCCAATAATTTGGACTGAAACAGAGTTATGAAAAAAGGAAACAACAGAAAAAAACTTACCACTCATTTCCGCGAGGTGTTGTGCAAAAAAATGTGAATGAATCGTTTTTGGTGACACGAGAAAGCTAACGGTTGTTCTTTTTGGGTCACCGAAGCCAAAATTTAGGTCACCATAACTAACATTCAAGTCGGTGCGCGAACAATCGATCACCATTTCGAACAAACGTCCGAAGTCAACCAAACACAATTGAAAGAAAAACAAAAACGCGTCGATTAACCATTTTGATAGCTAACAGTTAAAGAAAACAGAAAATCCTAAATCAAGTATAGTCTGTTACAGCAGGCGCAAATTTAAGGGTTCGAAATTCTTGCCATTCGAGCAAAGAGTCGCTTCTTGGTTATATTTTACGATGTCCATTTTAAAGTTTCTATAGTCGCCAGCATCTGGTATTTTTGAAGCAGAAGCCGAAAAAATTCTGTTTTGATAGAAACTTCACAAAAAGAGCCTAGAGAAATCATTTTAGTCTGTTTTCTGCATAAATGTATTAGATCTTTGATTATTGACATTTTTCGACAAAACTAAAGGTTAGTTCGGTCAAAAAAGGTCAATCAGAAAAATCACTAATTTTTAAGAACTAAGTTATATACCTATATAAGTTTAAATTCGATTATTCGAAATATTATTCGAATCCCAATCCCATACAATTTCATAATACCTGTTTTTATCAAACAGTAAGTCTAGACAAGTATGCCAAGCAAAACATTTGAACATTAAATTAGCAACGGAACAAAAATTACGAAGCAAAAACAAAGCCAAAAATTTTTAGAGCAGACACAATTTGAGCCGAGAAAAAATGACTTGATAAAATTTCAAGTCTCTCCGGAAACCTCAATGAACAACACTTGCAACTACCATAATACTTGCATACAGCCAAAGAAACATCAGTAATAAGGCAACTAAGCAGACAAAATTTGAGCAGATAATGAAAATCCAAAAATCAGTTTTAAACAAAAAAACTTTTGAATTGCATACATACTAAAAACATACTGCCACGCAAAGTCAGGTACCAAAACAAATCATCGGAATGTTCTCAGGGTCGAGACAAACCCCTTTAAAATTTCAGGAGTTTTAGTTTAATTTCGAGGGATTAAGGCAAGCGAGCAGGCTTATTATAGAAAGATAAGCCATGAAACTTTGGTAAATTGTTTTTAAGATTTTTTCAGCGCCATTTTTGGAATAAATAAACTATATAAAAAATTTTTAAAGAATTGCTGCAAAAAACTCTCAATTTGTTTTTTCGGATTTTTTTTTTCATCTTCGAAATTTTTTTTTAAGGAAAATTTTTAGAATTTTTTTTCAAGTTGTTTCTACAAAACTGTTGTACGATTTGCCTATTTTACTGTGAATGTCGAATGTACCTAAATTCAGGTTTTAATTACATCTTTCTCTCACGCCCCGCACAAAAAATAACATAAGAATAAATTCGAAACAAGTATCAGGTATCCAAAGTTGTATAGATCAGTAACCCGAGTATAACTGCACAATTTAATAAAATTTAACAAAATTCGGGTGAGAAATAGTGAGAAACACTAGATTGAAGGAAAAGAAACACGAAAAAAATGGACACGAAAAACAACCGGCTAATCTTGTTTTTTTTTTCAGTTTTTCGTTCGCAGATTGTTTTGAACACTCAAAACTTTGAAGTTGATACACAAAATTTCACACAGAGACTAAAGGTGAAAAATGAATTCTGTCGAAAAAATTGATTACACTTGTTATAAAAATCAATTACTTGAAATATAAGAAGGATTCAGGCTACACAAACTGCATTCACGTTTCCCATTACCATAAAATGAAACCGCTCAGAAAAAAAATGTGGTAAAATATTTTAAAAATCCAAAAGTTTCTAAATGTACTCATAAACTTAACTTAAAACTCTGCAAGCAAACAAGCTGCATTTCCTGCAGAATCAATTGGCTATAAACATCAACGAAACAATTGCTATAAACTAAGATCAAAGTGAAAGAAAAATATTGAAAACAGAAACAAAAAAATGAATGCTTGTTTCAAATAAAAAACACGAGAATACTTTTTTAAAAAATTTCAGCCAGAAAGACCTGAACGTCATACCGGATTTACCACATATCTTCCTTCACGAAATAGTCAGGCCAAAATTGCAAAAAAAAATTGTTGGAAATTTATGATTTTTTTCCGACAAAAATTTGACATATGAAAACAATACGCAATGACATCAACCTGAATCGCTTTGTTGATAAAATTAACCCAATTTGAGAAAACTGGGCTAAAGGTTGATGGTTTAAAACTTTTATTTTGCTGGCGAATCTGAAAATTAAATTCAACTTTCGAAACAAAAAATCCATCACGTTTTTCATGACTTTTACACTATTGCTATTCCATGGTAGAATTTGCCCTCCTTTTAACAAAGGAAATGAACCGAACTTAACAAGTCAAACAGCGAAAAAGTAAATTCGAGCCTGAACAAATTTTACGACTTTTCCTGAAAAAAAATATCATCGCGACCTATATAAGAGTCTTAACTACGTTCAGAGACTATTAAATAACAAAAACAAAGGTAAAAAAATAGTTTGGAAGGTGTCGATTAACTCAAGGAAAACAAAAAAATCAAATTTTTTTTGCATTCCGAAGAAAATCACAGATAACGTTGACGCTCTTTCAATTTTAAGACTCTTTTATGATTGACACCTTTTCTCACTAGACGAATCTAATCAGAGGAAAATTTGAAAAAATGTGATGTTTTTATTCAGCTGGGAAACCAGAGTTACTGGAGAGCGTAACTTGCATCCCTTTTAGCAAAATAATTCGAATTATTATTTTGAAAAATCGAAAGTCAAAGACATCTACCAAAACAACCATAAAAAGTCAAACTACCTGAATAAGTGTCTTCAATTTGTTCGCTTACACTAAGAAAGAAGCGACTGATTTTATTTCATTGAGTAATCTTATGATGTCACTTTTGAACGAAACCAAACCCACTTTAAGAAAATTCTCAAAATAATTCAACTTCAAACTAAGTGTAAAGCGCAACTTTTTACGCCCTTAATTTTCTTTTGGAGAACGCAAGTTTAGCTCAACGCCAAAACTACTTTGAGGCCTGCACGAGGCAAGAAAACAATTTTGAGGCAATTTTTTTTCATATCTCGGTTTCACAAAAAAACATCTTCAAGCTTTTTGCATTTCAATAAACTCTTTTATTATTTAAATTTTAAAGAACACAGCCAACAGACAGTTGGTAGTGTCAGTGAACTCAAATCAGCAAGTCGTCTCAATTTAGTGTATGAAAGTGTAGTCAACAAGTGTGAACGGTCTTCTCAATGATTGAATTTTTATGTAATGAATTTTTTGGTTCAAAGAAAACATATCACCATGAAGCTATTCGAATTTTCAAAATTATTATAGAGTGACAATTTTTAGATGAAACACAATTTGAGAAAAACGGCTCAATAGGTAACTTATTCCGCTGGGAACTTTTAAATTAATATTTTTTTAAACAAATTAAGTCATTCACTTTTCTTAGCGCAATTTTCATTTGCGCAAATGGAGAGCTGAATTTGCCTTCTTTATAGCACATGAACTTGAATTGAACCGCAAAAAAAATTAAATTTAAGCGTGATCAAAATTAAGACTTATCTTGAAAAAAAAATCACGACCTATTTAAGTGTCTTCACTAATCACTTCATTCATTTACACTTAACAAAAATCAAAAGACAATTCACCATTAACGTTACCCGATTAACGATGCTTACCATTAAAATTGTTGAACAAGTTTCTTGGATCTTGGGCATTGATGTTGTGCAGCTGCAGTCCAAAAGCGTTCAATTGTGGCTGGGTCAAACCCGCTGCTTGAAGCTAACAAAAAACAATCACATCAATAAATTGGATTTGAAAGGCTACTATTTGAGTTAAGTTTCTACTAAATACTTCTTAGGCAACTATCACCCACTGTAAATTTAAGACTTAATAAACAATCATTTTTCGTTCCGAAGTTGATTGCGATTCACGTTAGTTTTTGAACCAAAATTAATTGAATTAACAGCCTTCCATAACCACATTGAAGCTCTTTGAATTTCAAATACTATTTGAGTTTTTCTATGTTCAGTTTGCAAGGAAATCTGTAGTTTGCTCAAGTCATCACTAATCATGCTGGCCACTATTTTCTCAAAAATATATAGACCTCAAGTGACTATGACAATTTTCGAAATTTTTTGTCGACCTTTTTTTTAGGTCGACCAAATTAATTTTTCAAGCTCTGTCAAAGCACTAAAAATTCCCTGTTTTGGCCAAAACTTCTGCGCCGCAGGCATAATTTGGAATAAAAAAATTGCCGTTTTTTCGGCGCGCGCTCTCCCCTCAATATTAGTACATATTGGCGCCCAAGGCGCCTTTAGAAAAATTTTAGGGTCCGTCACCAAAAACGGATATCTCAAAACAGTGCAAAGAGGGGACCTGTAAAAATATTAAAAAAAAACAGAAAGCTTTGTTGTAAATAGTGATTTTTACATGGTCTCCAGGAAATATAGACTTCCAAAAAATTAGAGACCAAATAATGACTTTTATAGACCAGTTTAAAAATATAGACCAAGTGGCCAGCCTGTCACTAATTATCTACACAGAGGCGAAGTTGCCTTTCGCATACACAAGCAAAAATATGACTAACACTACTGGGAAAACAGAATGAGTTTTTGAGCCGACGCATTTTAGCTAGTATACGAAAAAGTTCACTAAAAACATCCGACCTTGCCCAGGTTCGAGCCCTTTTATTTTTTGCTGGTCTCATTCCCTACCGCTACGCTATATAACCATGATACCTTGAAGCTAAAGTGCTATTTGTAAAAAAAATAGTTGTGTTAAAATCCTTAGCATGGGCTGTACTTAATAGCTGGTTATTGATCAAAATGAACACATTTTGTTGCAAAAATATTTGCGTCGCAACAATATTTGCGACTTAGGTTGGAAAAAAAGAGAGTTCATACTATAACACAAGCTTTGCTTGTTTAAAAAAAGTCAAAGGAGAAGACACAGCTATCACTAGTAGAATGGAAGTTTCCGCCAATAAGAATAAATTCTGAAAATTACGAGCAAAATATGAATAAAAACGATTTAAAGGTAGTTTTTGATCTGATACCCTTCATGGACTCCTAAAACCGAGAATCGTGTTTAGAAAATACAGATGATAGAAAACAAAATAAAAATCAATTGATGAAAACATTGATTGACATTACACCTAGAAAATTCCGAATAAACTCATGACTTCAATTATCGTCACCGAAAAGAATATGATAAGAACATCAGGCCGATCGAGAAGTATCGAGGAAAAAACCCGAGCGAAGTTTTACTGAAGAGAAGAAGTTTTACTGAAGAGATTTTTTCTAACGGTTTTCAAAGAAGGTCGGAGCAGTGGTTTCAAACTTCAAAAGATACCTTATCTAATTTAATTATATTTAAAAACGACTAAAAAAACTGAAACACAAAGGCGAAGCGCAGCTTCATATCCCGTGCGATACAACGAAAGAGTACAATTGCAAACTGATAAAGGGTCAGTGAGATGGACATAACTGAATGGCAAAAAACTGGAAAGACAAAAAAAATTGTCACAAAACACAGACGAAAAATACAACCACAACCAAAAAGCAAGCTTTTGAAATTTTCCGAGCGTCTACTAAGCCAACAACACGTAGTTAGACGCCAAGTGATCCGTAAAGAAAAATACCAAATTATAACTCAACCATTTTTTTTGAAAATACAAAAATTTCGATCTCAGATAAATATACGAGAAACACATCTAATAGCATTAAGCAAGGTGTTAGGGTTTTTCGAGCGTCCACTAATCCACAACAGGGGCTTAGACGCCGATTGAGCTGAAAAAAAATAACAAAGGAAATGGTGGTCATAAAACAAATTCAACATTTTTTTAAAATAAGAAAAACTCAATATCAGAAAAACAGAAGAGAAAACAACCACCAGCGTTGAGCAAGATTTAAGCGTTTTCCGAGCGTCCACTGAGCCATCAACAAGTGGTTAGACGCCAATTGATCCGAAAACAAAAATACCAAAAGCTTTGGTTGTCTTAAAATAATTTTGAGCGATTAAAAAGTTTCAACAATTAATTTTTACACTACCAGCCGACCTGATTTATTAAACAGATGAATAAAAGTTATTTATCCTTATACCGATGCAAAACATGTTCACCAAATCGACAAAACAATAGCTGAAATCATTTAGGCCGATTAAAATTTCTAAGCGGAAAAAAAAAACAAAAAAATGTAAAATATGCCAGTCAGCTATAGTAATTTTTAAAACTACAGGAGCTAATCGTGGACACTTGAGACTACAATTAAACTGATTACAGTGCAAAAAATTGTGAAGAGGCAGCTAAGCCGAGAAAACATAATAAACAATTATTTGACTAATCAATTTTTCCCAGAAAAAAATTTAATTTCATACAGTGAAAAAAAACAAGCTCCAGCCGGGACTCAAACCCCTGACATTAGATTTCAAAGGCAACTGCATAATTTCCAGACCAAGTGCGGTAGAGCCTGGAAGTTGCTAAGGTTCGATAATAAAGCAACATGAATTTCAATTACAAACCTGTAAGACAAGTTGTTGACTGGAAAAAAATTTAGTTCATAGGCCGATCTTTTTGATACTAAATAGTTTAGGCTTACAAAAACAGGTGCTGACCAGATTCAAGCGTAGTCCCTCAGCCGTTTACTATTTTTCTTACTCAGAAGCTAAATTTGAATTTTCAAGAAATTGAGATGTTTGCTGCACAAATGATTGAAAGCTGCACAAACGATTCAGTGATTTTGTTAAACTAGTTGTTAACCCGAAAAAAAGTCTTTATCAAGATTTGACAGCGCTTGCTAATCGCAAGCTTATAAAAGACATTTGGCAAATAAGCCGGCCCTTAATAAGCTGAAAAACAGCCAAAAGACTTTCACTAAAAATCATAAAAAGATTTGCATCTACACGCTGCAATAGCGGCAAAACAAATACGCTGCGTATTTGTAAATTAATCATTTGAAACGTTCTAACAATTTACCATTGCGTGACCAAAGACATTTACGGGAACAAAAAACTAACACCCGGTTGCAATACCCTTGCTTATCGCAAGGGTAATAAACATAAAATTTGATATAACTTTCATTTGTTCAGAATTGCGATATTTCATTGTGCCAGTTTTGGCAGAATTTTGAAACTTGAAACAAATTTCTTATGTTACCAATTTATGTGAACTGATGAAGCAGGGGCGCCGATTTGATATCATCCAAAATTCGAGCAAAACTTTCAAACAATAATTACATACAGGCGAAGCTGTACTTCGCAAACAAGCAAAAAAACCTAAGAGGTGTAGCTTAAAAGGGCCACAAAAGAGAAAGCAAAATAAAGATAATGTTTTGTCCAACAAATGACTTCTACGGGAATCGACCCTCAGCCATCGGACATGCAACTTTGCCAGTCGGATGTCCTACACAAGTGTGCCACTGACGCTTCTTGAATCCAAACACTAGTCACTTATTAAATTGAGAAAATTTGCTATCAAAACGCCAGTAATATGAAACGAAATTGCTACCAAAAGAGTACTTTTATTTGCGAGTTAAATTGAAAAAAAAAGAGTTCGTAATATGACAATACGCTGTTTAGATCACTTGTTTATGAGCAATGAAAACAAAACGCGCTTAAGACACTGTTTGAAGTATATTTTTATTCCCCTATCTTAAACAAAAAATGTAGCAAAAAATCGCGCCCGGAAACCTTTTAAGTGGTCAGGGGTTCGAACCTCTGAAGGGTTTGGGCGTCCGTCCGCTACCGCTAAATCAGCTACTGAAACCAATTCAATTTCAGAAATTTGGTTCAATAATTATTCTATAATTGGTAGTTGAAAAATCAACTGGCTTTTTAAATCAAATATTTTTAAACTGAATTTTTCACCCATTCGCTTTCTCGTAACTGGAGAGCTTAATTTATACTTTTCCTGATTATTTATTGTTTGTTTTTTCTTTTTACAAACAGAAGATGACCAAATTACCAAAGTGAGGTCGACTAAAGGAGACCATGGGTTGGTTGGGAATGGGACTACACCTGCTGCCGCGGCGGCTGCTGCTGAGTTAGGCACTTGGACCCCAGGGTGTAAGATAGACCCCAACAGACCAGGCAACAGGTTGTTATGGAACAGCTGTGCTCCTATAATACAACATATCAGGCTATTTAAGACTTACACAAAGATGAGAACACAATTAACTTTCAACCATCTTCAAGTACTGATAAAAAACTTTCTAATTATACCTCTGACCACAGAAGTTGAACTTTTAATTGGAGAGTTTTTCAAGCAAAAACTGGTACGTGAAAAGACAGAGGGCGTCGGTCGAATGAAGATGTTAGATAAAAGATCTTTCAGCAGGTAATCGAATTGCAAGACGTTATTCCAGTGAGCTTTATTCAGTGTCCAGAAAAATCGATGGAAGTTTTCGTTTTAGGTTAATTTATAATGAAATTATAGGAAAATTTTGAGCACGCAAATACTTCAAAGCTGCTTTTTGTCGTTCTCGCTATTGTCTGCGAAGCTTCACCTGTGTGAAAGTTTGTTATATAGACCGTAGAACGTCATTTTTGGTTCGTCCAAGGAACTATTGATAGCTTAAATAACGTTTGAGATTTATTTTTTTACCGGATAAAAGTTGAAGTACTTAATTTGACCCCCTTAAAAGAAGTACCTCAACTTTAATCCGATGAAAACAAAAGCATTTAAAACGTTATTTAAGCTATCAATTCTTCCTTTGACGAACCAAAAATCACACTCTACGGTCTATATAACAAACTTTCACACAGAGGCGAAGTTTCGCTACGCAAAAAATAACGAGAACACGAAAAAACCAGCTTACTAAGGTACAAAAAAATTTAAATTAGCCTCGAATTAGCAAAATTTCGACTGCGTCAGAGATTCAAAGCTGCCACCTTGAGATTAACAGTCTCACCCACTAACAACTCAGCCATGAAAGCTTCTTAGTAGTTGAAAATTAGACACTAGCTATAAAGAAAGCAGAGAATAGTGGGCTAGGTCTTTTTACCAGACCGGCTTTTCATCAAACCGACCTTTTACCAGACCACAATGCAAGAAATCAGTCAAGATAAAAAAAAACAATTTAACGAAAAAAATATATGACATACAAAAGTGTCAACTAAAAAACTTGAAGGAAAAATGATAGACTCTCGAACTTCATAGAAGCTTTCAAATCAACAACTATTTCATAAAATCAGACCAATTAGAGAAAACTGGATGGAAAAGTACTATTTTTTCCCACTTGGAAATCTATAACTTGAAACCAACTTTCGAACCTTTTCGCCCCAATTTGCATCTACCCTCTGCAATGCAAGCCCTATAGCGGCAACACAAATACGCTGCATAAGCTGCATATTTGTAAATTTATCATTTGAAACATTCTAACAATTTACCATTGCTTGACCAAAGACATTTACAGGAACAAAAAAAAAACAAGACGTTATTCCAGTGAGCTTTATTCAGTGTCCAGAAAAATTGATTGGAGTTTTCGTTTTAGGTTAATTTAAAATAGAATTTTTGGAATATTTTGAGCAAGCAAATACTTCAGAGCTGCTTTTTGTCGTTCTCGCTAATGTCTGCGAAGCTTCACCTGCGTGAAAGTTTGTTATATAGACCGTAGAACGTCATTTTTGGTTCGTCCAAGGAACTATTGATAGCTTAATTAACGTTTGAGATTTATTTTTTTACCGGATAAAAGTTGAAGTACTTAATTTGACCCCCTTAAAAGGAGTACCTCAACTTTTATCCGATGAAAACAAAAAAATTTCAAACGCTATTTAAGCTATCAATTCTTCCTTTGACGAACCAAAAGTCACACTCTACGGTCTGTATAACAAACTTTCACATAGAGGCGAAAATTCGCTACGCAAAAAATAACGAGAACACGAAAAAAAGCAGCTTAAAAAATACAAAAAAATTAATTTAGCCTCGAATTAGCAAAATTTCGCCTGCATCAGAGATTCAAAGCTGCCACCTTGAGATTAACAGTCTCACTCACTAACTACTCAGCCATGAAAGCTTCTTAGTAGTTAGAAAATTAGGCACGAGCTACAAATAAAGCAGAGAACAGGGGGCTAGGTCTTTTTACCAGACCGGCTTTTCATCAAACCGACCTTTTACCAGACCACAATGCAAGAAATCAGTTAAGAAGAAAAAAAACAATTTAACGAAAAAAATATAAGACATACAAAAGTGTCAAATCAAAAATTTAAAGAAAAAATGATACACTCTCGAACTTCATAGAAGCTTTCAAATCAACAACTATTTCATAAAATCAGACCAATTAGAGAAAACTGGATGGAAAAGTACTATTTTTTCCCACTTGGAAATCTATAACTTGAAACCAACTTTCGAACCTTTTCGCCCCAATTTGCATCTACCCGCTGCAATGCAAGCCCTATAGCGGCAACACAAATACGCTGCATAAGCTGCACATTTGTAAATTTATCATTTGAAACTTTCTAACATTTTACCATTGCTTGACCAAAGACATTTACGGGAACAAAAAAAAACAAGGCGTTATTCCAATGAGCTTTATTCAGTGTCCAGAAAAATCGATTGGAGTTTTCGTTTTAGGTTAATTTTAAATGGAATTTTTGGAAAATTTTGAGCAAGCAAATACTTCAGAGCTGCCTTTTGTCGTTCTCGCTAATGTCTGCGAAGCTTCGCCTCTGTGTGAAAATTTGTTATATAGACCGTAGAGCGTCATTTTTGGTTCGTCAAAGGAATTATTGATAGCTTAAATAATGTTTGAGATTTATTTTTTTACCGGATAAAAGTTGAAGTATTTATTTTGACCCCCTTAAAAGGAGTACCTCAACTTTTATTCGATGAAAACAAAATAATTTCAAACGTTATTTAAGCTATCAATTCTTCCTTTGACGAACCAAAAGTCACACTCTACGGTCTGTATAACAAACTTTCACACAGAGGCGAAGTCTCGCTACGCAAAAAATAACGAGAACACGAAAAAAAGAAGCAGCTTAAAAAATACAAAAAAAATTAATTTACCCTCGAATTAGCAAAATTTCGGCTGCATCAGAGATTTAAAGCTGCCACCTTGAGATTAACAGTCTCACTCACTAACTACTCAGCCATGAAAGCTTCTTAGTAGTTAGAAAATTAGACACTAGCTACAAATAAAGCAGAGAACAGGGGGCTAGGTCTTTTTACCAGACCGGCTTTTCATCAAACCGACCTTTTACCAGACCACAATGCAAGAAATCAGTTAAGAAGAAAAAAAACAATTTAACGAAAAAATTATATGACATACAAAAGTGTCAACTAAAAAATTTATAGAAAAAATGATAGACTCTCGAACTTCATAGAAGCTTTCAAATCAACAACTATTTCATAAAATCAGACCAATTAGGGAAAACTGGATGGAACAGTACTATTTTTTCCCACTTGGAAATCTATAACTTGAAACCCACTTTCGAACCTTTTCGCCCCAATTTGCATCTACCCTCTGCAATGCAAGCCCTATAGCGGCAACACAAATACGCTGCATAAGCTGCATATTTGTAAATTTATCATTTGAAACATTCTAACAATTTACCATTGCTTGACCAAAGACATTTACAGGAACAAAAAAAAAAAACAAGACGTTATTCCAGTGAGCTTTATTCAGTGTCCAGAAAAATTGATTGGAGTTTTCGTTTTAGGTTAATTTGAAATAGAATTTTTGGAATATTTTGAGCAAGCAAATACTTCAGAGCTGCTTTTTGTCGTTCTCGCTAATGTCTGCGAAGCTTCACCTGCGTGAAAGTTTGTTATATAGACCGTAGAACGTCATTTTTGGTTCGTCCAAGGAACTATTGATAGCTTAATTAACGTTTGAGATTTATTTTTTTTACCGGATAAAAGTTGAAGTACTTAATTTGACCCCCTTAAAAGGAGTACCTCAACTTTTATCCGATGAAAACAAAATAATTTCAAACGCTATTTAAGCTATCAATTCTTCCTTTGACGAACCAAAAGTCACACTCTACGGTCTGTATAACAAACTTTCACATAGAGGCGAAGTTTCGCTACGCAAAAAATAACGAGAACACGAAAAAAAGCAGCTTAAAAAATACAAAAAAATTAATTTAGCCTCGAATTAGCAAAACTTCGGCTGCATCAGAGATTTAAAGCTGCCACCTTGAGATTAACAGTCTCACTCACTAACTACTCAGCCATGAAAGCTTCTTAGTAGTTAGAAAATTAGACACTAGCTACAAATAAAGCAGAGAACAGGGGGCTAGGTCTTTTTACCAGACCGGCTTTTCATCAAACCGACCTTTTACCAGACCACAATGCAAGAAATCAGTTAAGAAGAAAAAAAACAATTTAACGAAAAAAATATAAGACATACAAAAGTGTCAAATAAAAAATTTAAAGAAAAAATGATAGACTCTCGATTTTCATAGAAGCTTTCAAATCAACAACTATTTCATAAAATCAGACCAATTAGAGAAAACTGGATGGAAAAGTACTATTTTTTCCCACTTGGAAATCTATAACTTGAAACCAACTTTCGAACCTTTTCGCCCCAATTTGCATCTACTCGCTGCAATGCAAGCCCTATAGCGGCAACACAAATACGCTGCATAAGCTGCACATTTTTAAATTTATCATTTGAAACTTTCTAACAATTTACCATTGCTTGACCAAAGACATTTACGGGAACAAAAAAAAACAAGACGTTATTCCAATGAGCTTTATTCAGTGTCCAGAAAAATCGATTGGAGTTTTCGTTTTAGGTTAATTTTAAATGGAATTTTTGGAAAAATTTGAGCAAGCAAATACTTCAGAGCTGCCTTTTGTCGTTCTCGCTAATGTCTGCGAAGCTTCGCCTCTGTGTGAAAATTTGTTATATAGACCGTAGAACGTCATTTTTGGTTCGTCCAAGGAACTATTGATAGCTTAATTAACGTTTGAGATTTATTTTTTTACCGGATAAAAGTTGAAGTACTTAATTTGACCCCCTTAAAAGGAGTACCTCGACTTTTATCCGATGAAAACAAAATAATTTCAAACGCTATTTAAGCTATCAATTCTTCCTTTGACGAACCAAAAGTCACACTCTACGGTCTGTATAACAAACTTTCACAGAGGCGAAGTTTCGCTACGCAAAAAATAA